TCGGAAATGCCAGTGGGAGCTGGTTCGGGATAAGTGCCACCTTGGGGTGGTGGTGGACACCCAACCTTGCCGTTTCTTCGTTCTCCGGGACAAGGTGGCCCTCCTTGCCAAAAAGGCCCAGGTCCTTCGGGCCCGGATATGGGTAGCGGCTCGGGATCTGGCCCGCCTTTGTGGGCAGGCTGTTACGCGGACCGACCTGATATAGGGGACGCCTTACTAATGGCCCTTGGTGTGGGGGACGCCCTGCCCAACATATGATAACTATTCCTCAACCCATGGTAACCATTATAGCTATTAGGATACGGGAGTAGGACGGGGTGGTCCCGCCTAGGTCCCCGTAAGGACCTAGGTGCCCGGCGAGGCGGGTCCGCGGCTCAAAGAGGGCAGGAGCCCCACACCCACAACCTTTTCGTATCACAAACTATTTCGGTTTATTTAGCCTTTCCCCTTGCCCTGTTTTTTCTTCAGAGCCTTTATACGGTGCTCTGGACCAAACGCTCTTAGCGGGATCGTCTTCGATTGACCCCGCAAGTCTGCCTCGATCTAGAGGCCTGGGTCCCTCTTCATCGGTGTGATGGCCGCCCCCTTAATCCCGACGGGGTGCCCTTTGCGGGCACCCTCGCTATGGATGCCTCCTTGACGGGTTGGGGTGCGACTTTCACCCCCCCTCACGCCGATCATCCTCGGTTGGCGTGAGGCTTCTTTGATCGATTGTTGACACACATTAATGTGCGTGCATTGCAAGCGGTGGCCTTGGCCATCCGGGACTTTTTTCTGGCCGTTTCCCCCTCGATCTCGGCTCGGCTGCGCCTGCTCGTGGATTCGCAGGTGGTTCTCTTTTGTATCCGCAACATGACGACAGGTTCCGACCAGCTTTGCGGGCCGCTCTGCCAACTGTAGCGGATTTATTCGGCCTGCACACTGCTGATCGATCCTGAATATATCCCGTCCAAGGAAAACACCATTCCAGACCAATTGTCGTGGGTCAAGGGGGGCAAGGACTACTGTCTCAATCCGGCGATCTTCCAAGCCATTACTCGCCAGTTTGGGGAGGAGACCATCGACCGGTTTGCTTCCCATCGGAATTCCCTCTGCACCGCCTTCAATTCGAGGCACACGAGCCCCATTCTTCGGGGGTGGATGCCTTCCTCCAAGACTGGACGGGCGCAGCCAACTGAGCAAATCCGCCGTGGTCGTTACTTCCGCGTCTCATGGCTTTTCTGTGCCAACGTCTGGCAGTGGAGGCGGTGGTCTTGGCGCCGGACTGGCCGTCGGCCATGTGGTTTCCGTGGCTCCGGCGCATGGCATCGGCGGAGCTGTTCATTCCTCGCCACCCGGAGATGTTCCTCCCGGGCGATCCGTCGATTCCGGCCGTCCTGCCTCCCCCCCAGTGGAATCTCCGCGCCTTCCACATTCGGCTGCGGAGGGGGGATCAGACTCTGGGGCCATGACGCCCTCTTCCCGATCGGGATCGCCGGTGGCCGACCCCCTTCCTGTGGAGGAGATGCCCGCCGATCACCCGTTGTTTGGCTGCGAGGTGGATGGCCTGTCGGCGTCTGATCGGTCTTGGATGTAGGCCAAGTTCCTTTCATTTTATACCGAGTCAATGCGCCAATCCATGCATGCCAAGTTCACCCACTTTGCTACGTTCTGCAAGGCGCACGACTTGGCCAGCCTTCCCGCGCAGCCTTCGACGATCTACCACTACATCCGGTTTCTGCGGGAGGAGGGGCGTGTGGGCATTCGCAGCCTCCCGCAGTATTTGGCTGCCATTTCCATGGTCCACCAAGCAATGGGCCATCTGGACTTCTCCGCCTTTGACTCCGTCACCCGGCGCCTTATCCGCGCATGGAGGTGGCAAGAACCGGAGCCGGCCCATTCTCATTGGCCGGTTCCGACGGATCTTCTACGGAGCATCCTGGACCTTGGCTTGGTGACCTCCGATATGCGGCTGCTACGCGCAGCGTGCTCGGTGACATTGGATTTCCTTTTCTTCAACCGGGCGCAGAGTGGCCATCTCGTTCTCCTTGACGACCTCGACATGGAGAATGGCCTACTCGTTTTCCGGGAACGCCGGACCAAGCTTTCGGCTTCTATGGACCCGCGTATCCGGTGCCGTTCCTGGCCTTTGGACAGCACGCTATCCATCATCGACCTCTTCCTCCACTGGTCGGCGGCCCGGGACAAGGCGTGGGCGGACGCGGGCGACTCCCCCACCCATTTCTACATGCTCCCTGGTGAGCAGGATCCCTCCGCGTGGACGGTTTCCGGCTGGTTTCCTCTGCTGTAGCATGCCCTTCCTTCGCCGCCCCCGGAGGCCTTCGATCACCACGGCCTGCGCGGCAGGGGCGCCAGTGCCTGCTACGCCTTGGAGGTGCCGGAGGGACGCATCCGCGCCTGGGGGGAGTGGTGCAGTAACGTCATGTGGAAGTACATTGACGTGTACCGGCTGCCGTCCGAATGGGACTTTCGTTTGTTTGGCTGGATGACAATCACTGCCTGCGGCTTGCACACGCAGTACGGGCACATCTTCTGCCCTGGAGGGGCGTCATCCGCCCGTGGGTGACTAAGGCATGACCACGCCTTCACTCCTGAGGAGCTGCACCGTGCTCCAGTGTGATGGGGCACATTTCAAGTGGGTCGCCGAACGGGTCTTGTATTAATGAGGTGATGGACCCCAAACTGTGTCAATTTAATGTATTGTCGTGTGGGGAACACAAGGGGGGGTTGAAGGAGACCGGTATTGCAGAAATGGAATTAACTATCCTGTTAATGGGTTTCTGCGAAGGGCGACGATTGGGAGGGCGCGCAACGGCCAGGTCGGGCCGTTCCGCCTTTTGGACAGTTTGGGCCAGTCATAAGCCGGTTTCTGTCACCCCTGTACTCGGGGTCAGTGCTGCCCGACGTATCCAAGGGAGCTTGGGTTGAACCTTGTACTTTGGGCGCAGCCAAGGGGACCGGTCAACCTGGCCCTTGGGTTTGGCGGGAAGTTTGGCGGCAAGTGGGAGTGCTATTTTAGGCGCGACCCTTGGCGCCCATCTTATCTTGTTTCGCACCCGCCCAGCCCACCCGAATAAAGTGAGTTCGGTTAGCTGTGGGATGGAGAGGGAGTTGAGTACGAGGAAAGGGGAGCTGACGCTGGGTTGAGTCACCATCAGAGTGGCATTAAGTACTATGCGAAGCGAGGGCACATTTCAAGTGGGTCGCCGAACGGGTATTGTATTAGTGAGGTGATGGACACCAAACTGTGTGAATGTAATGTATGGTCGTGTGGGGAACATGGGGGGGGGGGGGTTGAAGGAGACCGGTATTGCAGAAACATGTTCAGGTCGTATTGGACCCTGGCGGATGCCCTTTTCAGTCACAGTTGTCGACCTGTCCTTTCATAAAGGGACAGATGCTTCAGCAATTTCACGGCTGCACAGTAACGTAGCGCGCTCAAAGGGCGACCTGCCATGGAGCGTGTTGGTTCCAGCATGCATTTACTGTCCATTGACGCCAGACTCATGCAGCCTTCAGTATTGCACACAATTCATACTCAATCACCCTTACAACCCATGGCGCTTCCTCTGTCTCTTTTCTTCGTGCTCGAGTCATGATCTCATCCCATCCCTTTTTGCCTACTGCCCATATCAAGCATACCAAGCCATTCTAGCACGCCTTTAATAGCTCGTATTCTTGCATTAACCCAGCCACCAGCATCATCTCTTTACTCAGCCATCTTTTCCCATGTTTGTCAGGCCAGATGCTTCGTGCCCCTCTCCTGACTGAAGCTTCAAGTCGGGCATACACAGCCCAAGCCTCATAGTTCTGCCTTCCTTTCAGCGAGCCATCCATGTGCATGGCTCAGACGTGCTGTGCATCAACATATTCTCAGTGACTTTCATATACCAAGCGTTTGACATATGCTCACCATGCCTAGACGCCTGACGATTCTGGATGACGGCTTTAACATCCCATACACCAGAATCGACATCAACTTCACTTTTTTTCAGTCATGCCCAACTATCCATCATTTTCTTTTTATCTGTACATTAGCTTGTTAATCGGACCCCGTTCCAGTCATGCGCCCTGTCAGTCATCAACACACATCATATTATAACGGTGGTCACTATATTTAACAAAAGTTAAATGAGGGAATATGAGAATCCCACTTCAGGGAATGCCGTCAACAATATAATTGAATGGTTGTCACTTTCTTTCGATGTTTCACTTGTAACTTCCAGATTTACATAACCGGAGGTCGGTGGCTGGACACCGATGTGCAGTGAAACTCAAAGAGAAAAGTGAATACAAAATTGGTAGTTAGATTAAAAGATGAAAGTCTGACGTCAAGATAGCTGCAGCTACCATGTTGTGCGTGCAGCGGGTCATGTGCTTCCTGACGTATGATTCACTCGTGGACCAGACTGAAATGGCGGGAACACGGCTGCCCAATAATCAGCTTTTCGCTTTCAGTACTTTAGTGGTGTGAGTTGAGCTGTGAGTTGGGGCTATGGGCGGATGCTGTGGATCGTTGCTGTGGATCGGTGCTGTGTTCTAGCGTGTTGTGCATGTCTGAATTGTGAGTTCAGTATGCCATTCTGAGTGTGAATTCTGGTTGGCGATGAAGGGGCGCATTCTGGTGTTTAGAGTGGCGATAGAGGTGTACACCGTACTTAAAGAGAGCCCGAGTCTCGTTCTTGGCTTCTCTTGGTTTTGGTTGTAAGACCAAGTTGAGTTTTGGCCGCTTGTCCAACCAAGCACGGTGAGTGCGCTTGAGCACCGTGTGGAGGTCGAACTAAAACATTTGACCTTTGCTGCACTGTGGCCCATCGCTGCGGGCATTCGATTGCAACTGGCGGCATCTCGAACTTGGATGGCAAAGAAGTTTTGACGGCTAGGAGGAGGTCACGATGGCTCAAGTTTGGGGCACAGTCCGCACAACTGATTGGGAAAAAAGCCAAAATCCTTCGATATTCTTACAAGAATTTTAATTGAATCAAATAACATGACCCCCGCTAGTCATCCAGAAAAGCAAGAACGTCCTCCTGCTTCACTGCCTCCCTCTCGTACGAGGCGTAGTAATCGGCAATGGAGACGGACGCCAGCCAGCGCTTCACGCTCTCCAATTCGTCCGCCTCTTTGCCGTCCTTCAATTCCTTCAGCACCTCAAGAATCACCGTGCTCCCTGCACCACTGTCCACCAACGGCGAGTCCTCGCCTGGTCCGCCCCCAGCCAAAACCATGGAGCCCATCTTCTCCAGGCTGACAATATCCTGGGACACTAAGATCCCAAGCAACCTTCCGATCAGCCTAGGGGCGTTGGGGAAGTCCTCCGCCACATCCGGAATCTTCTCCAGAATCCCCTCCACGCCCTTCTCCATGTCGGACGGACTGACCACAGGGGTTGACCCCTCAGGGTGGCCCTGGCACAGGGCGATCATGAGGTCGGCGAGCGGGAGTAACCTCTTGGCGGCATCCATGCCCCTGATATTCAGTGCTTGTTGAACCGACGTCGACAGGATCTCTGGAGTCTGCGCCCCGGCGGACTTTAACTCCTCCACGCACTTCACCGGCTCCTCCATGTTGTCCATGTCGTTGTAGTATTCCTCTAAGAGACCCTTCACCTTGCGCCCAAGGAGCTCCTCTGTCATAGCCTCTGGGGCTTCCTCTAGTGGGCTGCTCTCCTGTGCCACGGCCTTTCGCGAGGGCGGCGCCAAGTTGAGCACGGGCCTCTCTCGGGCAGGCTCCTTCGGTGGGGAGATGGGCCCCCGTTGGAGGCCTGGCGACTCTTGCTGCTGCAGGCGGCCCGCAGGCCGCAGAGAGATCTCCTGTGAGTCAGTCCGGCCGAGGGACTTGATCCTGGTCAGGGGTCGAACCTCCTCACCACGCATGAGCGGAGGGGTTGGGGAAGGGGTGGGCCCAGGCCGGCCCTGAGACGGGGGAGGCCCATTCCTGCCCCACATGCCACCTCCGATCCTATCCTCCAGGTGCCGAGCAGACCGGGAGCCGCCCCAATGCCCGCCCCCGCCACCACGTCCCCTTTCACGGATGCTCTGCTGCTCCCTGGCCGCCTCCTTGTGGATTTCCTCGATCGTCTTTGGGCCCTCCTGCTTGCGGCGCTCCACCCAGCCGCGGTCCTTCATCTCAATCAGGTCCAGGAGCATGAATCTGTGCCTGACATCAAGGTTCTGATTCTCTGCCAGCCTGGCCACCCTGAGGAAGTACGCCTTTAGTTCTGACCGCTGGGTGAGCCGCCGCCCCACGGTGGCCACCAGCTTGCAGAGGCACTCGATGTCCTCAGGCTTGGGGCTCTTCTCTTCACGAAGCAGCTCCACAATACACTGATGGATGATCTTCTCTGTCAGCATTCCTTCTTTGAAAAGATGGCCTATGAACTGCATATTTCCCAGAGACCGCATTCGTTCCTTCTTCGCCTGGATAAGGATTCTTGCACTTTCCTCAGTACCCTACAATAGGACAACAATCATGTCTTGGCCGCAGTCTCTCACAACAAACAAGCCGGTGCCTTCTCCCCACTGTGGCATGCAACAGCTTCACAACGAGAATGCGACATACAGCAGAATCCACTGGTGCTACATAATATGTACCCTCACAGTATACATTACTGTATATCATGCTCTGCAGTATCCCGGAAACCAAAATAAAGTAGAGAAAACAGAGTTGCACAGCTGATGCTATGAATCTTATGGACAACAGCTGCATTGAATCCTCTCCAAAACGTGTTGCACCTCACAAGAACAGTACTGCATTCTGACACATGACAGTATTCATGCTGCACGTATGCTGCGCACCAATTCGGAGGCTTGTTCAGCGGCCCTCATAGCCGCATCACCCTTTTCGAACTCGGCCTGGCACTTGTTGAGTAGGAGTCTCCTGAACGTGACCTTCCGTGGGTCGCCCTCCACCGTAAACTCCGGCATTTCGGTGCTCAACAACTTACACAAAGAGGCGTACAATGCACAAAACGTTGTCTCGATCAATGCTTTGTCGAAGATTTGGTCAATAAGACCAGTTAACGTTTGTGCAGAACCAATTTCGACGTCCTTCATCTGGGCACACACAATGGCTTTGAATCAATTAAACTACCCCCAAAGATGTGGCAAGGCACGTTACGATGGATAAGCGCAAGACCGGTTTGAGCACACAATCGATGCACGAGGATATGCATGCACAGTGTGGTGTTTTGTGCGACATTGTATCTTTTGCTGCATGCATGCAGCAACTTTGGGCTTTGGGCACCTACCTTATTGAACATCTTCTGGAAATTATCTGGAGTGAGCTTGTTCAATATCGATTTGAAGGATTTCTGTCGCTTCTCCTCTTCAGGGTCTTCACTTGTGCTTTTCCCGACAACGTATCTGCACATGGCACATTTGCAGTCACCGCACAAAGTTTCTAGAGTGTGACACTGCAACAATTCACAAGAATTGCACGGGACAGCTCATCGAGGATGGTGCTGTTAAGGCCTGGATGAGTTGCCCTGTTGTCCTGCATTGCATGATCATGCAGGGACAGGGGCAGTGCGTTGAAGCCACTCAACAGAAAGAACAGCCTACCTATTTTCCGCCCTATGAAGCTGACTCTCTGGTGCACTAAATGGCGACTGAGGCAGTGGGGCCTTCCCCCATCTATCGTCTTCAATGCCCTTGCCCCTGTCGCATCCAGCCCTGCTACGGTAGCTCCTCGAACTGCCACTACGACCTGCATTTAAAGGCCCAATACACCCATGTCAAGGCCACATAAAGGGGCTCCAGGGAAGCAGTGGCATCAGCTGACTTCAGCCTGTGATACGAAACTACATGCCACTTGTTCAATAGAACAATGCCCACCCACCTTGAGCTGGATCCTTTGTCCACAGGCCTCCAGTGGACCTCGAGGGAAGATCGCGGTCATGATCCCTGTCTCTTCTATCCCTCTCACGATCTCGATCACCAACTGAGTCTCTGGACCCTCTTGAAGCCCACCGGTCGGTGCCGCGCATACTCCTCGTAGGTGCAATGGCATCCCTCAAGAATGGGCCCACAGCAATTTCTGACGGCTTGTCTAACAGAGAGGGCTTCAGTTTCAGCAAGAAATCGAAAACGTACACCCTCTTTCCAGACCTCTTGTGATCGATCTCAGCATCGTCAATCTTGAGGCTACTCCTTGTCCTCGGTGGCCCAAGGATACCCCGCCAATCCCTCTTCAGCTGATCACCAGAATTGGAATTGAAGCTGTGTGATCTGGCCACTGCCTTCAGTGATCCCGACCGCCTCGGTGGGAGCAAGCCCTCGTCTCCACGACTCCAAGGTCCCTTGTCAAAGCTGTCAGGGGTTCTGAAGTTCGCAGCCCGCAGACCCTTCAGTGCATCCATGCTGTAATACCTCCTGCCAATGCGAAGCACAAAAGGATCAGCTGCAACAAGTGGGCACACACACACACACACAAATATGCAGGTGCACTGCAATCCATCCTCGCCGGTTTCCATCGAGGGGGCCCGGAAAAATCCACTCACCTGGAGGTCGGGCCAACTGGGGACCTCTCGTTCTCCTCGCTGGCCTTTAGGTCCCCCGTCCCCGAAATGCTCGGTTTGGATCCCTCTGGAGACGCCAGCGCAGCAGCGACCTTCGGGAACTCTGGTCCAGGGGAACCATCGGCAGGCTTCACGGCGACCGGTGGCGCAGCCCCGCCGTCGCTGGGCACCGCGGTCGCGCAATCGACAGCAAGCTTCGCAGCAACGCGCCCTTCATCTTCCGCAGTCTCCGGCCCAGGAGGCGCCACGGCGACAGGATCAACGTCGACCCCGATCGCCTCTGCCGTCGCTGGACCGAATGGCGTGACGGTGGGTGGCCCAGGAGGCGTCACGGCGACAGGATCAACGACGACCCCAATCGCCTCTGCCGTCGCTGGAATGGATGGTTTGACGGTGGGCGGCCCAGGAGGCGTCACGGCGGCCGGGGCAACGACGCCGGAGTCCCCGACCGCCTCTGCCGTCGCTGGACCGGATGGATTGACGTCGGGCGGCCCAGGAGGCGTCACGGCGGCCGGGGCAACGACGACGACCCCGGTCGCCTCTTCCGTCGCTGGACTGGATGAATTGATGGCGGGCGGGGTTGCGATCCCTTCGGTCGCCTCTGCCGTGTCGGGATTCCCCTGGACCTCATCTCGCCTCGTAGACGGCTCATCTTGATCGAGTGTCGCCTCCGCGCTGGTTGCAGCCGCTGGGTCAGCGGTACCGTTGTCAGCTGCCACGAACCTCGAGCTCGAAATCACGACCGCCTCCGGCATCTCGGGCGCTGGGATTCTGTCGCCGCGCTGCTCACCGGGTGCAGAGGGCTGAGAGGCCTTGTCGACTTCGTCGTCCGCGGGAGGCTTTGGCGGCGCCGTGATTGTCTCGACAGGAACGGCCGGCGCGACCGACGGTTGGGCATCAGGCGACGTCGCAGCCTCAGCAGCCTCGTGTACCTCGAACGACTTTGAATTTGAAGCAGGCACGGCAGCCTCTTGCGCTTCAGGGGACTTCGTCGACGGATCCGACGCAGCAGTCTCCCCTGCTTCGAGCAAGTTTGGAGTTTGAGCAGAGCCACCTGTCTCCTGTGCTTCGGGCACTGGAGCGCGCGCAGCAGACTCCTGTGCTTCAATCGACTTTGGCCCTGGGGCAGGAACAGCAGTCTCCGTTGCTTCCGGGGATTTTGGCGCCAGTGCAGACTCTGCAGCCGGAGGGGCCCGCTGCACCTGCTGGGCCTTTGAAGCTGAAGCGGGCTCCCCTGCCTGAGGCTCTTTCGCATCCTTCTTTGCAGCCTCCACAGCCTGTAGCAAGGGAGGGGCCGGCTGCACAGGAGGAGCCGTCGACACTGAAGCGGGCTCCCCTGCCCGGGATACCTTTTGAGCACTCTTTGAAGCCTCAGCAGCCCGCTGCACGGGAGAAGCCCGGGTCGCCTGGCGACCTTGCTGCGGCTGGGCTGCAGCATGAGGCTGAAGAACCTTGACCGAAGGCTTCTGCTGAATAGCAGACCAGCCCTTCTTCGACAAACCCCATTTGGGCTTTGCAACATCGGATTCCTCTTTGGCGGGAGCGCCGCTCTTGTCAGGCAACGAACGGGGATGGCACTCATCCGGCTTCCCCACATGAAGCCCGTTCTCCAACGTGGCGTCTTGCTTCTTTGGGGTCTCAGCCTGTCCAGATTTCACCTCCTGCGACTTGCTGACAGGCAGCTTGTCTGCCATTTCAGGCTTCTCTTGAACCAGACTTGCCTCAACCCCTTTTCCATCCACCGCTCCGGAAAGGGCCCTGCCTCCTCCAGCTTCCTGGGATGGGCCAACATTCTTGGCAGGGCCTACTGGTGTGTGCACAAAAGATGTGGAAACCACACCCAGCGGTCTGGACTTCTTGACGGTCCTGGCAGCCTCAGGCACAGGCACCTTGTGAAGGCCTGATTGTCCAGACTTGTGGTCTGGCGGGGGTGGCCTTGCAGCCGGTGTTGCAGTCCTGTGCAAGACGGATGCCTGTGCAGGCGCAGCACTGGGCGTGCTGCCCTGTCCTCGTGCTGTGGGGTGCAGCATCCTGCCTCCATGGGCACTGTGCTGTGGCGGAGTCATCGAACCTCCTCTGGACAATCCCGGCTTGCTGGTGTGTATCACCCTCACCTCGCCGCTGTGTGATCTGCCGAGCTTTTGCCCTCCAGACTTGTCCTGGGACATCGCTTCAGCAGGATGAGGAGCAGCCGATTTGGTCTTCCGGCCAAAAGCATCCCTGTAAGAGAGCTTCTCAGTGGTGGACTCGCCTACATGGCACAAGGCAACAGAATGAATGCTCAGCAACCACCAAACAGCAACCATCTGCGAATCAACCAACCGCAGGGAAATTCAGACAGAATCAATCTATCCACAGACACCAATCCAACGGACAATCCCCGGACTTTCCAAGCACGCTGCGCTTAGAAAAGTCTGGGATTGAGATTGTCCGTTTGGATTGGTGTCTGGATTCATTGATTTGAACTGTCTTGGAAGTGCGTTTGCATTCTGGAAGAACGCGCACTTCATCCGCTCACCCTTCTCGCCCGCGCTCGTCTTGTTGCCCCTGGCGTCGACTCCCTTATCGCCCGTTATCGCCTTGTTGCTCCGCGGGTCGATCAGCGGGATGGCCTTCTTCTCCCTGGGATTGTGTGACGCCCCGGACGCGCTAGACGACGGCGACCACGGCTGCTCCTGGTCGCTGGCGGCCGACGAGCCGCTCCGCGCCGCCGGGGGGCCCTGCCCTTCAAACGGGATCCGGCTGCTGGCCCTCTCTCCTCCCCACCCCGGCCACCCCTGCCCCTGCTCAACATACCCCACAGGCGGATACGGCATCCCGCTGTAGGGGTAGTAGGCGCCTCCTGGCCCTTGGGGCGGTGCCCCACCCATCTGTCCGGTGTACGCCTGTCCCTGTCCGCTAGCCGGCGGCCCAGATGCCGGTGGACGCTGATGCTTCGGCCCGCCGAGACCCCTCCTGCTCGTTGACGGCCGGGGCGGTGGCGGGCCGTGCTGCTGCTGGGGAGGCTGCTGCGCTCCCTGGTAGTAGGGCGTGGGGATTGGCCCCGTGTAGCCCGGGAGGCCTTGGGGGGGTGCGAACGGTGGTCCCGGCACCTCCATGTGCTGCGCACCAGAGAGGGAGGGGTCAGAAATGGGAGGGGATTCGCACGACGATTAAGGTGTGTGCCTGTGCCTGCCGCCACCGAGGGCAGGGAGGAGGGGACGCGGTCTGGGGCGGAATAACGGCGGCGCCAATTTTTTGGCCGGACCGAGAAATCACTGTGGGCATCGACCGCCATGGGAGGGAGCGCTACAGCCGCCCGTTCCCGTTGTAGATCGTCATCCCTATCGCGCGTGAACTTCAACGAAACAAATAGCGACGAAAAAGGGTCGGGCACGCGCGGCGACAATTCTGACCGCGCGACGGCGGGCCGCCGCGCGCCCCACTTGGGCCGATGGGCGTTGCGCGGGCGGCCGGCGCCTGAGGGCATTTTTCCTCTCACCTGTAAACCCGGAAATGAACCGAACTGGATGGCGCTATCTGCACGACAAACACACCCACACGCACACGCACTCACCAACCGGCCATCCAACCCAGCAAACGCTGTCCAGGGGTCCAATCTCGACTCCCGCGAGCGCGCGTTATTGATTCCATCCGGGGGACTCCCGAGGCGGCCTCGGCATCCCCCCGCCGCATCGGCGGTCCCGCATGCGGCCAGCAAAAATCTGATGGCATCGCCGCGCCCGACTCACCGGCGCCCGCAGGGGGCCCAGTCACGGGCGGCCCCCAGTAGGCATTCCCCATCGCCCAGGGGTGGGAGAACTCCATCCCTCCCCAGGGCCAAGCCTTCCGGCCGCTGACCCCTGCAGTGATGTATCTCCCCTTCCGTTACATGCGCCGCTGTCCCCGGCAGGGTCCAGGCCGCGTCGATTGAAGGACTCTTCCGCCGCTGGTAATCTCCTTTGGGAGTTTTGAAACGCGGGGGGAGGTGCAGACGGGGAAGGCCGGTCGCGGTGCAGCCGCCCCAGGCAGCTCGGTAACTGAATGCGGTCGCCATGTCAAATAGCGCTGGTGAGGGGGTGGCCGGCCGGACGCCGTGGCTGGCCTCGGTTGGGTTTATTGAACAGGCGGACATTAAACTGGGCGGCATGCGCCGCCAGGCAGTACTTTGTTGGCCATGTGGGCTCTGGTGCCTCACAGATGTGTGCCTCGAGTGGCTGTGGCGGTCCCGTCTGGCCCGAGAGGTTGCCCCCGAGCACGCGCATCGTAAAATGCTCCTGGGCGTTTTTCGTGTGTGCAAGGGTCGTCAAGTAGCGTCAAACCCGGAGGCTGGATGCCTTTCCTGATGTCATCCCCCGCGACCGCGCCAACGGTTGGGCCTTTGGTGGTGGGCTACATCACGATGGTGCACCCTCTCGTGGAGGCTCCAAGGTGGAGCGATCGCCATCGTGGCAGTACGGGGGAAACGGAGCCTGCCTTCAGTCAGTGACAAGGGCTCTTCTTCACATGACAACACCACACAACTACCCCATGATACATTCATGGGAAAATGACAAAAAGGGGTTCATTTGTGAGATATCTTGACAAAAGGGGGTCCTCTGTGACAAAAGAGGGTCCTTTGCGGGGGTGCATTTGACAACGGGGGGTCCTCAGACCGCCCTCCAATGGAGGGCCTCCATACATTAGACCCGTATCCTAGCTGGCGACAGACCAGCGCCGATCGGCGAGCCAGTCCTACTAGGGGCGACCCCACAAAGGACCCCCTTCGGTCAAGTGCACCCCCGCAGAGGACCCCCTTTTGTCAATTTCCTTCTTGGGGGTGTTGTATGGGTTTGTGGGGTCTTCGCAAAACCATTTAAATGCCCCTACCTGCCTTTGGTATACCAATTAAATGCAATTGTTTGGATTGTGGCTTTGCACAACTCAGTTGTGAAAGCCGTCATATGGCATGGTTTCTATACTCACAAGTCATTTTCCAATTAGATGTTGCCAATAACTTCACTTTACAAAAGAGCTCTTACAAAATCAATGTGCTACAAGTGTCCTCCATCTGCCAAAGCTTGTGTGTTATAAACTTCAACCTTCATAAAGTTCACAAACATATAGAACATTCAGTCCACAAAAATCACACCAGAACATTCAAAGTTATGGGCAACATCTCTGATTGTGATTGGATGCACCACAACGCCGACAGCTATATGTCTTCTTTGATTGTCCACCTTCACCTGTTGATCGAATCCTCGTCTTTTTGGGCTGCCCAACTTGTCTAACCCTTAATGCAGGAAGTACAACCTATTTTTCATGAACACCATCCTCCTGATCAGAATCCTCATCAACTTCAGGGACAATATTGTTACGCTTTCATCCTTGGTGGGTCAGGACACCAGTACCTTAGGGTTTCCGTAAAAAAACCCTTAGGCAGGTTTCAAACTCACGGCAAGGTGGCAAAGTGGACCGGTTTCGGCGTTCGCCACAATGCCTCATCAGCACCCTTGTATTGGAGTTCTCCTATGGGTATTTATACCCCTTTTGCCATGTGTGGCTGCTCCCACTAGGCCTCACGGCTTGGACCGTAACAAATATTGTGCAACAATGTTAAGCAGACCTGACCTTGATAGCCATCCAAATATGTAGATATTCTGTAGATGTGATAGAAATATTTGTTGAACCATTGATTGGCATCAGCAAGGACACCAATGTGCCTTGCCAAGTGAATAACATGATGGCAAGGGATCCCTAGCTGCTCCCAAAATGAGCAAGAGCAACTCCGTCGATTGATGTGCACCTGGTGCCTTTCTGGATTGACTCAGCCATAGGACCAATCACCGAACATTCTTGGCTTTTGCCATATACCTGAGCCTTTATCCCTTGCTTTGCTTTGCCATGGCCGGATTGGCCATTGCCATGTGCTCTCTCCAGCAGTTCCAATCTCTAGGACTGCCTCCAGGAGCTCCAATCGCCACTTGATCTCCCAGGTAGCTCCGATCCCCCCTTGCTCTCACCGCAACTCCGGTTGCCGCTTGCTCTCCCCGCAGTCCCGATCGCCGCCTGGTCTCCCCCAGTAGCTCCTATTGCCACGACTTCCTCCCATAGCTCCGATCGCAGTGTGCTCTTTCTGGTAGCTCAGATCGTTGCTTGGTCTCCCTGGCACCCCCGATCGCTGCAAATCCCCTTCACGCCCCAATCGCCGTGGCACCCTCCCAGAGGGGTTGCCCCTGGTAAGACTATGGTCCGGTCTGGCGCCAGTCGGGCAATGCATCTAATGTACAGGGGCCGGTATGAGGACCCCCTTTTGTCAAATGCATCCCCACAAAAGACCCCCTTTCATCACAGAGGACCCCCTTTTATTATTTTCCCTATATTCATTGTTCTTGTCGGTTCGGACCCCAGTGTAGTGTGTCTATCTCGAGCCCACGATGTGTCCATTGAATGGACCCCATTCCTCTCGCCAGGAACTCGTTCCCTGAAATCACCCCACCACAGCCTCAAGCATCCATCGCATTTAACAGCACCCCGTGCTTGGGTTCAGGAAGACGCTGTGCTGATGTTAATGCGCTTACTCATTGCCTTATTGGTGAGCGCCCAGACGACGCTCTTGGGTGGGCCAGAGATTCACAATTGCACCCAAAACATGTGAGGCAGGAAACAACGTATTCCTCGGGTGCGATGAAGACACTGAACACGGGCTCTTTGATGGCCCCACGTTAGATATGGCGATTTCGGCTGGTTGCTATCGCTGGGCGTCTGTCCACGGGACAGAAAGGCAAACAGGACGAAGAGTTCGCCAGCGGTCCAGAGTTCATTGCGTCTGAGGGTCGTCCGAAATCTATCATTCCTGTCATAAAGGTCATGAAGTGTACTAGACAACTCAAAGCCTTGAAACCTAAAAAGCTGCCAAACCAGAACCCTAAACCCTAAATTGACGTTGGTGGCCTTCATAATTCTATTCCCAGAAATGAATGGTATTGGACGTTTGTGCTGCGTTTGGGACGGGAGGCGGTCAGTGGCAAAAGCTCAATGGCGATCAGCAGTCTTCTTTTGCGATCGACGCCATGGAATCGCCAGCCATCGGCGGCTGAATCGAAGATGTGCGCATGGAGCGAGGGGAGGGGATGCACAATTGTGCACCACTGTTCCTCCCTTGCAAAAAAGAAGTGGCAACGTGCACGTTCGCGATCTGGCATGGATTGTGGTTGAAGCTCGTGCGCGTGACAAGTATTGACGATAGTGTGCGGCTGGCTGGTCAAACAGCAGCCCCGTTGTCAATTAGGTCGGGCCACCAGTTACGTTGCGTGAGCAGCGTTCTCGGAGGGGCTGCACAGCTGTCAAGCGCAAAAGGACACGGAGAGCGCTTGTGCAGTCACAAAACAGCCAATTGTACGCAGAACTTTCGAAATACTGCCTATAGGTGTTGCCAAGCCGTCAGTCAGGAACTGACATTGAAGGGACCGAGCTCAAGCGTCCGCCGAGCCATGAGCATAGTAAAATCAAAGCAGTGTACTGTCTTGACTGGAGCCCTGAGGGTAATCCGTCAAGAACTGTTTGCAGAACAGTGTGGGGGCCGTGACAGGGGCCCCCGATAGGATTTATGCGACGCGTGAGAGGTGTGTGACGTCAAGAGGCTGGCACCCCGTGAGTTTCACGCGCTTTCAGCACTTGGAGCTCCTGCGGGTGCTGCCCTCGGTTGATGCGGCGAAGCGTGTTGCTATCTTCTCTGCCATTCTGTACCTGTGGTTTCTGGTGTGCCAGAAAGTAGCCGCGCATTCCGAACAGTGCTTGGGTGCCCTCAAGGATCCCATCCACGCAATTTGCAGGCCACCGGAAATCAAATCCTCGTTGGCTCCCAGAAGGATAGCAGCGGCTGGCGACGGGCTCTGGCGGATATATGATCCAGGGTTCTCTCATGGCAACGAGGTACATCCACATCTCGTTGTCCAGATATCGACCTCCTATTCACACCCGCTCCTTGTGTGGCGCCCGCTTCCGGAAGCTGCTTCATTCTCGAGTTTGAGCCAAGCATGTCCTGGCAGTCGCGTCGTGACTACTGTGAAGGTTTACATCTTCCAGTGTACCTTACAGCGTGCGCTGGATACCTCGCGATTCTTGGCACTGCTAGGTGACTGCAATATGGCGACAATGTCCTCGCCCTATTCCGCCTGTTTTATTTGCACGCACAGGGGATGGTTGCCCGATACATCAGGAGCAGCAACCCGGAACCCTGCGGTAGTTGGTGCGCAGCACTCTGAGTTCCACAGTCTTACAAACGTGATCAAAATTGACAACTACATGCCGTTCGCCCGCCCTCTGTACAGTGGTCTTCCCCTGTTGCTTGGGCAAAGCGAGCCCAGCAACTTCACACGGCTTGTGGCACAAACAATCCCCTAACAGGCCCGTCAGCAGCAAGGTCCGACTGACAAATGTGTAATGCGTCGTCTCGCACACATTCGCATACTCTGGCTGCAAACTGAAAGCAAAGGGTGAACCTTCGCAACCTGGTTGCATCCGAGTTCCGGCAGCAAAATCACAACAGTTCCCAGGCA